AATCAAAGAAAGAATGACTGTTGACAAAATGATTAATTAAAAGTTATGCTATCACTCCTATCAGGATTGTGCTGGGCTGTATATCTGGCGCTTCGGCCAGACAGGGCACGCTGTGCTCTCTGTTTCTAAAACACATAGATAGGAAGGTAGTCACTGTACTGATGCTGTACTATATCGGGAACAAATTGTGTAAACAAGGCTTTGTAACTAACTTTGTGGTTTTTGCAAATAAAAACGCTGTAACTCCTGTAGTCGGCACTGCAGTTCAGCCTCTGCTTTGGCAGGGTGCTGTAACTGTAGTTGCTGGCCAGCTTAATAAAGGCTCCTAAATTTTGATCTGAGTCCCTGGTGGTCGTCTCTGCATGTCGCCCCATTACATTTGGAGGCCCCAGAGAGATCCACTCCTGCCGAGTTGTCGGTGGACACCAGGACACCCCAGGTGAGGACACTCCAGTCTCTGTCACAGGTCCCAAGGAGGCGGAGTGTTTTCCTCCCAAAACTGCAATCTGAAAACGACGAGCCACCTGGACCTCCAGCGGGCAGGTAAGAATCTGGTATCTGTCTGTGGAACGTTCCCTTTAGGACTGAAAAGAGGGCTGGATGCAGCAGAACCTCAGAGTCCGACCGCCAGGACGCGACGGCGTCTGGGGGTCCTGGTCTGGGCAACCTTAGGTTGCATTTCTCTGGTTTGTTTTGTCTTTGTTCTTTGTTGTCTTTGTCTTTGTCAAAATGGGTCAGGGTCAGTCATCTTCGTCGACCCCCTTACAAAGTTTTCTTGAGAATTTTCAGGACTTCAAGAGACACAGAGAGGACTATGCCACCCCCATTAATTATTTTGATTTGTAGGGGCCCCTATCAGTCAGGCCCACTCCAAGTGAGTTGTAGGGGAGCTTGATCACCTCCCTGGAAGTCAACGACTTCCTCAGGCAAATTAATCAGGAGTCAGTTGGACTGTTTAAACTCTGAGTAAATATCTGGTAGAAGTAAAAAACTCAAGACTGTCTGGTGTATGAATGTAAGTGTGAGAGTATGTGAAGCGAAAGCTACTTTGTGCCATCTGGCTGTACACATGAGAGTATTTGTTATCTCTTTATTCCAGAATTAGTTGGATTGCTTAAACTCTGAGTAAACATTTGGTAGAAGTAAAAACTCGGACTGTCTGGTGTATGAATGTAAGTGTGAGAGTCTGTGTGAAGTGAAAGCTACTTTGTGCTGTCTGGCTGTACGCATGAGAGTATTTGTTATCTCTTCTGTTGTTTGTTTAAAGATAGGGCAAACCCTCCTTTAAGGGGAAGACAGTAGAGAACTTTTAATTGCTTTGCTCTGATGTATAATTTTGCTGTGTTAGGTTAAAATTTTAGAAGTCTAGGGTTAATTTAAAGGTATAAGGTTGCAACCCAAAGAAGTTTAAACAAAGGCTTGTTGGGTTAAGATTAGTACATTTTCTCATGGCCTGTGTAGGGTGAGGGAGAGGGACTGCCAGATTTTTATCATGTGGTCCTGAGACCTGCGACCTGCCTGCCCTTCCTGATAGGTTTACAGTAGGTCTCTGTTGGCGACAGCATCCGATCTGACTGGGGGAGGAAGAGAACCGAAAACTGCTCCGGAGCGGGTGTGAGATGGGGTAGTGGCAGTAGGATTTGCTAGATAGGGTGGTAGGCTCTCAGCCTGCTGAGATAGAGGAGCCTTAGGCTGGGGGACAGGGGGATAGTCAGAGAGGTCAAAAGTGGTAAAAGAGGAGAAGGATTTGAGTCTCTGGGGCTTAGAGTAAAGAAGGAAAAATCTAGGAGGGAGAGCATCTAAGGACAGAGTAAATGGTTAATGCAGAAAAGGGGGGGGGGCGTCGACAGGGAGAGATAGTTTTTGTTGATTTTTACTTATCTGAACTATGCTGGACTCAAGACCGCAAGTTGCTACTAAGCACAAGTTTTTCTCTGTCCTGTTTTGTTCTCTTTAACCCTTCCAATACTAAATTATACTGATACAATATACTTGAAATTACATAAGGAAGCAGTTCTTACCTGTTCTTAGTAATCTAAGAAATACTGGCTGTTTATAGTAATCATTAAAGGATTGAGGTTTCTAAGAATAAGGAATTACTGAGTAGAAGATCTGAGGCATGGTTATGCATTTTTAAAGGACACAGAAAGAAGGTTTAAAGGCTAATTTGAAAGTATGAAATTTAGAAAGGTTGTGTATGTGATAAGAAGGAGAAGAGAAATATTGAAAGGAAATTAATCAAATGGTACAGGCGAGTAAGCCAGAGAGAGTAAATAGTTATGCCAAAGTACTTAGAGGGGACTGATAAAAGAAATACAACAGTTACTATTTTGTTATAACTCTGGAGAGTCCTTAAAAAGGTCTGACAAGGAAAATCAGAAGATCTTAAGGCAGGCCAGTGGCTTTTTCTCCTTATATAATTCCTCCGAAATTTGGCAATGCTAAATAAATCATGGCAACACATTTCTTTGCATAAATTCAATAAAACCGGTTTCCAATAGCGGTTTTATTAATTAGAAACTTTGACTGGAGTATCATATTTTAAAGAGTCTTGTCTGAGCTCTGAAGACTTGAAGCCAATAAGAGTGCCATGGGAAAAGCCTGTTATCTTGCTTGGTAGCTCTGAAAATAGCTGGCGCTGGAGCATCAGGCCCATGCT